CAAGAGCAGACCCTGAGTTCTGATCCAAAATGGCCCCGTCTGCAAGCAAGAGGCAGATAATCAGGAAGCCCTGGGAACCCTGAGGTTTGCAGATGTACAGAAAATATGTGGAGGAGTTATCCCAGTAATTGTGTGGGGCAGGGAGAGAGAGGGCGACTGAAGATGTTCAGTGGATACACCATACTGGCTCACTGAGGAGAAAAACAGAACCCCCTCAAAAAATCTGGGGTGCTGGTGGAATGGGATATCCTGGGTTGAGAGCAAGACTATTCCACCCCGCACTGCAACATGTCGTTGCACGTCCTACCGGTCACTAGAAGAAGAAGAAGAAGAGTTTGGATTTGATATCCCGCCTTTCACTCCCTTTAAGGAGTCTCAAAGCGGCTAACATTCTCCTTTCCCTTCCTCTCCCACAACAAACACTCTGTGAGGTGAGTGGGGCTGAGAGACTTCAGAGAAGTGTGACTAGCCCAAGGTCACCCAGCAGCTGCATGTGGAGGAGCGGGGAAGCGAGCCCGGTTCCCCAGATTACGAGACTACCGCTCTTAACCACTACACCACACTGGCTCTCCAGTCCTACAGATATGAAAGAGGAGATGAATGAAATATTTTGGTTTGCAAGGAGGAGGAAGAAGAAAGTATAAGGTGCATAGAAGCAGGATCTGCTAGAAGGAGGGAGAGAAAAGCAGGGAGATGTGCTGCAAAATGAATATTCAGGACAAACAAAGGCAATGAGCCCAGGCAGAGAGTCCGGCATATGATTGCGCTAAACAAATAGTGGCAGATTCAGCAATTGGCGAAGTAATTGGCATTATTACAGCTGATAGGGAATTTCAGGCGCTGCCCTTGCTTTCCTCTGCCGTCTGCACTCCACCGTTTAATTTGCTGCTCTCTTCTTTTTCTGATTGCTCTCCCCTCCACCTTTCTGCTTCTGGAGTTCGTCAGGAATAAGCCTCTGCAGACTTTGCAATCCACCCCCCCACACACACACATTGTTGGTTAGGGACATGGGAGCAAAGGATGCTGCCTTTGATCCACCTACCCTGTATTGGTGGTAATAATAATAATAATAAATAATAATAATAAATAATAATAATAATAATATAATAATAATTTATTTGTACCCCGCCCATCTGGCTGGGTTTCCCCAGCCACTCTGGGCAGCTTCCACAAAGACCAAAAATACACTAATATGTCATATATTAAAAACTTCCCTGAACAGGGCTGCCTTAAGATGTCTTCTGAATGTCAGGTAGTTGTTTATCTCTTTGACATCTGATGGGAGGGCGTTCCACAGGGCGGGTGCCACTACTGAGAAGGCCCTCTGCCTGGTTCCCTGTAACTTTGCTTCTCGCAATGAGGGAACTGCCAGAAGCTCTCGGCACTGGACCTCCGTATCCGGGCAGAATGATGGGGGTGGAGGCGCTCCTTCAGGTATACTGGGCCGAGGCCGTTTAGGGCTTTAAAGGTCAGCACCAACACTTTGAATTGTGCTCGGAAACGTACTGGGAGCCAATGTAGGTCTTTCAAGACCAGTGTTATGTGGTCTCGGCGGCCACCCCCAGTCACCATCTAGCTGCTGCATTCTGGATTAGTTGTAGTTCCTGGGTCACCTTCAAAGGTAGCCCCACGTAGAGCGCATTGCAGTAGTCCAAGTAACACTGAACAGCAGCAACTCTCCAGGGTGTCAAACTCAGGCAGGGAATCTCTCCCAGCCCTACTTGGGGATGCCGTTAGAGATTGAACTCGGCACCTTCTGCATGAAAAGCTGGTGCTCTACCACCAAACTATGGCCCTTCGCAAGGATTCCTCCACCCTGTGCTTTTCTTATACACTTTAGGTTGTAGCTACTCTGCAATTTTGAAGTATGCATTTGTATGATTTTTTTCACCATTTTAAAGCACACTTTACCCTAGTACAGTGATGGCCAAACCTGGCCCTCCAGCTGTTTTGGGACTACAACTCCCATCATCCCTAGCTAACAGGACCAGTGGTCAGGGATGATGGGAATTGTAGTCCCAAAACAGCTGGAGGGCCAAGTTGGGCCATCACTGCCCTAGTATGTGCATTTTTTTTTTATTTATTTTTTTTTTTGCACACATTGCTTGGGCTGGAGAATTGCACTGCAAAATTCTGAGCAGTGTAATTAATTAATTAATTAATTATACCCTACCCATCTGACTGGGTTGACCCGGCCATTCTGGGCGGCTTCCAACATATATAAAAACACAATACAACATTAAACATTAAACAGCTTCCCTGTACATATCAAAAGGATGGCTGCATCCCGGTTCTTCGAAAGTGCAGGAGAGGTCAGTCAGTCAGTCAAATTTATTGCTTATAGCCAAAGGCTGCTGCAATGTGTACAATATCATTCAACAGAATATATACTAATTTGGTACAACAACTTAAAAACATTTATATTGTCAAAACATGACCTAATCTACACACAGCTGTAGAAACTCCTTAATATACAAACTGAAACATTAGACAATAAAATTTATAAGCTAAAATCAGCGCGGGGCCACTAATATATTAAAAGTAATGTTAAATAATAGAATAGACAATTATGTACAAAGTTTGGTGAGAAAAATACAGCTTGGTGTAGATGGGATCAAATAAATTAATCTCCTTTACAGTTGATAGCTATCTCGGCTATATAATTTTTTTTCTGATTTTCCTGGCGGCAGTTGCAAAAAGTGCTACACTCCAGGTGTGCGGGAGAGATAGGTTCACCTTTAAAGGCAAACGGAATCCAATTTATTCCCCAGTTTGAGGCTCCCCAAGTCAAGATTGGGGGGGGGGGCTTTACACTGTAGGAACACCGGGAGAGCTAGTGTGGTGTAGTGCTTAAAAGCGGTAGTCTCGTAATCTGGTGAACCGGGTTCGCTTCCCTGCTCCTCCACATGCAGCTGCTGGGTGACCTTGGGCTAGTCACACTTCTCTGAAGTCTCTCAGCCCCACTCACCTCACAGAGTGTTTGTTGTGGGAGAGGAAGGGAAAGGAGAATGTGAGCCGCTTTGAGACTCCTTCGGGTAGTGATAAAGCAGGATGTCATATCCAAACCCAAACCGGGATGACGGCCCATCAGGGCAATCAGAAGTCGAGGACCCTCTCCAGAATTGCCCTTTGCTCTCGCCTCCTCTTTCCCGGCACAAAACCAGCGTGATGCTGAGAGGAGGCTTAGACACAGAGTCGAGTTAGGGCTGAGGGAGGGAAAGGTGGCTTCTCATCGGCAGGTACCACCTTTGGGAGAGAGGAGGATGTGTTTATTCCTTTCACCCAACTCCCCTTCACCCCCTCCCCTTCTAAGGCTTCCCAATCTAAAAAAAAATGATTCGGTGATTGCACATGACCCAGTGTCACCGTCTGCTTTCCCAGAGAATTGCAATATTACCCCCACATTTCGGTTCCTCTTGAGGTGCGGCTGAATCCGGGCGAGAGAGATGATCAATCTCATGGCGCTTCAAAAGCGGTTGCCTGAACCGGGGCAGATTCTGAAGCTTGTCTAATTAGCCAATTTGAGAGTGGGGGGGCGGGGGGGAGAACTCTAGCAGCTGATTAGTACAGTGAGGAGGTCAGCTCTTCCCTTAATATGCTAAACAGGAGCAAAAGAAGATGAAGGAAGAAGAAGGAAGCCACACGCATAGGACCCCTCCCTCCCCAGAAGCAGCAACCAATAGGCCAAGTTATTTTATTTTTTAAAAATTGATATATGTATGATGAAGCTCTGCAGTCCCCCTCCCCACTTTATTGGGCCATTAATTTACAGTGAGTAGCCCTGGGCAAGCCATTGTCTCTCTGTGTCAGTTGCCCAGCTGTCAGATGTTATTAATTCGCCTCACACCATTACTGTGAAAATGAACAAAATGTCGCTTGTGAACAACCCAGGTCTCTCTCTTCTATCTATCTATCATCTATCTACGTATGTATCATCTATCTATCTATCTATCATCTGTATCGATATATGCAAATTTACACTGCAGAAGTTAGACCAGTTTAAGAACTATTGAAACTATGGGAACTGGGGAATCTATGGGATCTTGGGCTTCATGTTCACTGCAGATGGTGACAGCAGACACGAAATTAAAAGATGCCTGCTTCTTGGGAGAAAAGCAATTACAAACCTAGACAGCATCTTAAAAAGTAGAGACATCACCTTGCCAACAAAGGCCCGTATAGTTAAAGCTATGGTTTTCCCAGTAGTGATGTATGGAAGTGAGAGCTGGACCATAAAGAAGGCTGATCGCCGAAGAATTGATGCTTTTGAATTATGGTGCTGGAGGAGACTCTTGAGAGTCCCATGGACTGCAAGAAGATCAAACCTATCCATTCTGAAGGAACTCAGCCCTGAGTGCTCAGTGGACGGACAGATCCTGAAGCTGAGGCTCCAATAATTTGGTCACCTCATGAGAAGAGAAGACCCCCTGGAAAAGACCCTGATGTTGGGAAAGATGGAGGGCACAAGGAGAAGGGGACGACAGAGGACGAGATGGCTGGACAGTGTTCTCGAAGCTACCAGCATGAGTTTGACCAAACTGCGGGAGGCAGTGGAAGACAGGAGTGCCTGGTGTGCTCTGGTCCATGGGGTCACCAAGAGTCGGACACGACTAAACAACTAAACAACAACAACAAAGTTGCAGGAAAGAAGTGAGAGAAGTCATGCTTTCTTCGGGCATCATGCCTTTATGAGGCTAGAATTCCCCTGGGTTCTTTGCGGGATGTCACAGTGATTTAAACATCTTCCAATCCGCTTTAAATGTATAGCAGAGATGTAGATGTCCGGCAGTCGTTCAAGCAGCAGTTTTTGGAAGATCTTGGACATGGTTTCCCCAAACATGGGTCTCCAGCTGTTTTGGATTACGGTACAACTCCTATCACCCCCAGCTAGCAAGACTAGCAGTCAGGGATGATGGGAATTGTAGTCCCAAAACAGCTGGAGACTCCAGTTTGTGAAACACTGATCTAGTCCTACCCTCTGCAATGCAGGAATATGCAGCTGTCCTGTACAGGGATTGAACCTGTGACCGTGGTGTTGTTCGCACTGTGCTCCAACCAACTGAGCTATCCAGTTTTAGACATCTTGGGCGTCAAGGACGAGGGTAAGGAGGGGCATCTTCACATTTGCCAAAAGCTGTGTAATGAAGGTGACAGGCAAACCTGTCTACATCTTAGAGCAGGGGTAGGCAACCTAAGGCCCGTGGGCCGGATGCGGCCCAATTGCCTTCTCAATCCGGCCCACGGACGGTCCGGGAATCAGCATGTTTTTACATGAATACAGTGTGTCCTTTTATTTAAAATGCATCTCTGGGTTATTTGTGGGGCCTGCCTGGTGTTTTCACATGAGTAGAATGTGTGCTTTCATTTAAAATGCATCTCTGGGTTATTTGTGGGGCATAGGAATTCGTTCATTTTTTTCCTTCAAAATATAGTCCGGCCTCCCACATGGTCTGAGGGATGGTGGACCAGCCCACAGTTGAAAAAGGTTGCTGGCTCCTGTCTTAGAGGTTGCCCCAGAGATTGTCCTCTCCAGGGCCACCATCCCCTGAACATCTGTTGGAGGTGGAACAACCAAGAGGTCCCTCTCTGCTGGAAGGGTTTGTAGGGAAGGAGGCAGTCTTTGAGATAAACAGTGCACCTTGAGGAGCTGGTTACTAAGTTAGACTGATTCCTTGTAGGACAGATTCCTATGTTCACATGAAACCTACATTTTCTCATGCAACACAACGCGTGATTGCAATTTGCTAGATAGTCCCTGGATCACCAGGGAGGGAAGTGCAGGATTCCCCCGTTACCTAATGTGATTGTGAGAATAAAAAATGGCCATGGGTGAGTCCCACGCTCCCTTCCACTTCTCAGACAAAATGCTGTGGTAAATAGGACAGACAAGGACAAGCCACCCAATTATTCCATTATATATAAAAAAAGACTTCCACATATCAAAAGCACTGTTGACAGATACGAGATGTATGGTTTTATTAGAAATGCAGAAATCAATCTGGCCATTAATCCTCTACTATGGACTTGCCAGAGTCCTGTTTCCTTTTTGCTTTGCTTTCTCCTTTTCTTTTCTTTTTTAATGAATGAGTTTTGATTGTCATTCACAAATATAGTGAGATTTAATAACGCTGGTTTTAAGCAACTCCCCGCTGTCACCGCGTGTGGGAGACCTTGTGCAGAGCTGCTTCAGGGTGTTTTAATGACCAATTGTGTTTCAAAAATAAATAAATTGTGCTTCTCATGTCCATGTCTAGACGTTGCTTCTGGTTGCGATGGCGTTGTCAAATTGGAAGGGGGAAGCGTCTGCCTAGAAAGGGAATATGAAGTAGCATTTTGGGCAGAGATGTTGGAACATGGAAATGCAACTGTGCCTCTTCCACAATTAGTTCCTTTTTGACTCCTGCTATCAGTTTTTCTGTTACTGTTCAACATACTGTTCAACTCGTATTTACGGGACCGCCTCTCCTGGTATGCCCTACAGAGGACCTTAAGGTCCATGAATAATCAGGGTTTAGAGGTCCCACTGGCCCTGGTGGATTTTCCTCCCCCAGGGCCAGGGCCTTCTCAGTGATGGCTCAAACCTGGTGGAATGCTCTGTCGCATGAGACTAGGGCCCTGCAGGATTTAACTTCCTTCCGCAGGGCCTGTAAGACAGAGCTATTCTGCCTGGCTTTCAATTTGAACTTAGCCTGATCTTTCGTTCCCCTTCCTCCCCCTCCCCTTTTTATGAAGATTACCCGCTCTGGGATCCCACAGCTAATTCTCCCCTGTCCTCCTCACTGGTCAAATAGGACAAATTTAGCCAGCTAGCCCTGGTGATCATCTAATGTTTATTGGATGGATTTCCCCCCTAAATTGATTTTTGAATTCTGAATTTATTATTATTTACATTTTATACTGTATTTTATGCTGTTTTTTGTTGCATCGATTAAGTTTTTTAAATTTGTTGTTAGCCGCCCTGAGCCCGGTTTTTCGAACCAGGAAGGGCGGGGTATAAATAAAAAAAATATTATTATTATTATTATTAGCAACATGCGGCCCTCGATTCCTTTTTGGTGGCCCTCAGCAACATTTTACACCTTCCCCAGAGCCCTCATGCTGCCTTCTCAAAGGCAGGTAAGCAAGGCGCTTGGTTTGGGCAAGGCGCTTGGTTTAGGGACACTTCCTTATTCATTTAGGAAGCGTCTGTGCTGCTGCCATGAAAGCTGCCCCAGAGCGGTTCAAAAATGAGTTTAATCAACAGCAGCAATAAAAGCATTCCATATACAAGATATAAATCAGCAGAACAAACATCCGTTCAGCAGCCCATCTAAACAATCCAATATAAAGTATGTAATCCCATATGGCACACAGTCTAGAACTTGCCTATTCTACAACTGTTTTGGTGTCAGTCGAGGTCAGTTGCTCTCTGCCTCAGTTTTCCACCTGTAAAATGGGAATAATAGTGTCTTCCTCTATGAGTTGGTTGTGACAGCAATTGCAATAAAGTCTTTTTCTTTCTTTTTTTTTTACAAAGTGGAAACATATTGATAGCAGCCTTGGGACCCAGCCTTGAGATCAAATCCACAAAACCTACTTTTTTAAAGGGTAAATTGTAGTTAACTTTGCTGGAGTCAGGTACCACCTATGTAGTAATGTACAGAAATACAGTGGTACCTTGAGTTAAGAACTTGATTTGTTCTGGAGGTCTGTTCTTAACCTGAAACTGTTCTTAACCTGAAGCACCACTTTAGCTAATGGGGCCTCCCGCTGCTGCTGCGCCGCCGGAGCACGATTTCTGTTCTCATCCTGAAGCAAAGTTCTTAAAACGAGGTACTATTTCTGGGTTAGTGGAGTCTGTAACTTGAAGTGTATGTAACCCAAGGTACCACTGTAAAGAGAAAGAGAATAAGTAGTTCATACCTAATACAACACATTTTACTTTGTTTATAAAGCTAAAAACTTTTGTATTTACTTACAAAATGGAAAATTATCAATGGAAAAAACAGAGCAGTTACTTCTTTGTTATTTTAATGCTGAAGTCTAGCTCTTTACCATGGCCTTTGACACCTGAGCTAAATATTTTCAGGTCCTACCCTTTCCTCTTGATTGTAACCCACTTTAACCATTTTAATATTGCGTTTTTTAAGTTGTTGCAGCTTCCTGCAGCCATTCGGAAGCCACACTTTGGTTTCCATTTTTTTTTGAAGTCGAATAGACTTCCAGAACGGATTCCGTTCAACTTCCGAGGTACAACTATAGATTTATTTTTATTTTTTTAAAAGAAACCAACAACAACCTATAAACATGCAACACAATGCAAAAAAATATTATTCTGCCCCTGAACAGCAGGCAGGTGGCTTTTTCCTGACTCATCCAGGACCTCGTAGCATTCCCTGAAAAGTGGCAGCATCAGCAGCCTTCCCTGATGATGGGGGTATTTGTTTAGTGTTTCAGCCTCTGAGGGGCTGGTGTGGCTGTGGAAAAAGCCCTGAGATTTTAGATTCTCAAATGTAAGGGCGCATATACAGGATTCCTCAGAGTTTTTCTCAGCAGCTTTCCAAACCAGATTTCACAGATATCTTCTTTGATGTGCAATTAAAAGCCCTGGGTCGGGTAGGGATGGGAGGGTTGGAAATAGCTTTGGGTAATGTATAAATAGAAGAACGGGGAGATAAAGGCAGCCGCTGACAGCTTGTCATTTGAGCATGAAAGGTGCATTCCACTATCTTTTCTTAAGGATGGATTTCTGCAAATCCCGGCGCCTTTTTGCATTCTGACTTCCTTTTCTGTGTTTGTGTGTGTGTGTTTCTGTCCCTTGCAATGGGTTTTGCCAGTTTGGAGTACAAATTTCTTGCATGTGCTTTGAAAGGACAGCTCTCCTGACAAAAACAGACTCCTCTTAAAAGCATTATCTACGCTTCTCACATTCCTACCACTCCACCCCCACCCCAATGTAGTAGGTCAGTTGATAGCACTTGCTCTGTATACAAATAACTACTTGTCAGTAAAAGTCTACGACTCCTGCGTTTGCGAAAGGTACTTGTTTCAGGGCTCTGTGCCTGTGGCAGAGTTTTGCCCAGGCGCAAAAGCATCAAAAAGACAGAGGGCTTTACCCATTAGTGTCTTTCAACTGGTACAAAATCCATTCCACTAGCGGAAGCCTTGTTCTCAGTCTTGCACAACCGACTAAATCAGTGGTTTGCTTCCACTTGTTCAGGATGCCATGCAACAGGGAGTGTGCCTTGTTTCTTGTGGGCTGTTTGATACCCTACAACTTGCACAATCAATGGCCCTGAAAGAAATTGCTGGTGGTACAATGTAAACACCTCACTTTGGGTGATAATAATAATAATAATAATAATAATAATAATAATAATAATAATAATTTATTATTTATACCCTGCCCATCTGGCCAGATCTCCCCAGCCACCCTGGGCGGCCTCCAACAAAATATTAAAATACTGTAATCTGTTAAACATTAAAAGCTTCCCTAAACAGGGCTGCCTTCAGATGTCTTCTAAAAGTCAGGTAGTTGTTTTTCTCTTTGACATCTGCTGGGAGGGCGTTCCACAGGGCAGGTGCCACTACCGAGAAGGCCCTCTGCCTGGTTCCCTGTAACTTGGCTTCTCACAGCGAGGGAACCACCAGAAGGCCCTCGGGGCTGGACCTCAGTGTCCGGGCAGAACGATGGTGGTGGAGATACTCCTTCAGGTATACTGGACCGAGGCTGTTTAGGTCTTTAAAGGTCAGCACCAACACTTTGACTTGTGCTCGGAAATGTACTGGGAGCTAGTGTAGGTCTCAGCGGCCACTCCCAGTCACCAGTCTAGCTGCCGCATTCTGGATTAGTTGTAGTTTCCAGGTCACCTTCAAAGGTAGCCCCACATAGAGCGCATTGCAGTAGTCCAAGCAGGCGATAACTAGAGCATGCACCACTCTGGCGAGACAGTCTGTGGGCAGGTAGGGTCTCAACGTGCGTACCAGATGGAGCTGGTAGACAGCTGCCCTGGACACAGAATTGACTTGTGCCTCCATGGACAGCTGTGAGTCCAGAATGGCTCCCAGGCTGCACACCTGGTCCTTCAGGGGCACAATTAC